GTTGGTTCGTTTTGAAGAACTACTAACATTTTCACCTGGTAAAACATACAAATATGGATTATTTTTTTTAGAATTGATCGACGTCTACATTCGTTGTTATCTTGAGATCCCCCCTTTCTGCCGGATTTTGAGTGATGATGTTTAGTCGATATAGCAGGTCAAGCCGAAGTCATATTGAAAAAGGCAAGACAAGAATTAAAATTTTCAATTAAATCCACCGACAAAATTAACATTTGCAGCGACTGTTGCAGCTGTTGCAAAAATGCGACAGATTATATTAAAGCGAATCATTTTTATTGTCTTTTTAGTGAAATTGCCTTACTTCATAATTTATTTGAATTAATTTTTCGATTTGATTGACTAACATTTTAATTTTCTTCATTTGATTTTTAATTTGCTTTCTTTACAGTTGTAAGCCTTAATTTTAAATTTCCTGACTTAATTTTTAATTTGTTTGATGTAATTGTCTTACTTTTTAATTTGTTTGAAATAATTTTTAATTAGCTTGCCTTATTTTTTCAATTGAGTATCTTACATATTCTTGCCTTACATTTAATTTTGATAACGTTAATTTATTATGGGCCGACATTAATTTTTAATTTATTTACCTTACTTTTTAATTTGTCATATTTTAAAATTTAGTTGTTTTATCAAACTTTCTTAACATACTCAATAATTTATACGACATATTGCTTAATTTATTTTTCCAATTTTTATTTTGCTTTTCTTATAGTGTGTAACCCGGATATAAGAGACTCGGATATAAGAGAAACCCGGATATAAGAGATATTTTCTCTGGTCCCAAATTAGAGCCCATACTTACCTAAACAAAATAGACCAAACCCGGATATAAGAGAAACCCGGATATAAGAGACTTCTTCTCTGGTCCCGACAACTCTCTTATATCCGGGTTACGCTGTATTTTAATGTATTTTTTTTAATTTGTCTTATCAAATTTGCTTAGCGTACTATTTAATCTTTGTTGGATCATTAAACTTTCATTGTTTCCTATTTTATTTTTAATTTTTTTTATTTTTAATTTGGTTTATTTTTAATTTGGTTTTCTTAATTTTTATTTTTCTTACTTTGTAATTTATTTGCCTTAATTTTACATATGATTGCTATACACATTCCTTAATCGTCCAGTGTAAGACGATAAACTACGTCCAACAGCAAGGCCTCTGATCAGGAGGTTTTGAGGAGTGTGAAACCACCTCTTAATTACTAGTGTCCCCAGGTCCACCCTGGCACGGGGTGGTAGCACCTGTTAGGGTCCCAGCTATGGACAAATAGTTAACCCCAAAACTGGGGTGTAAACGTGTAAAAATAGGTTTTAATACCAGCAATATATTTCTGTACAAATTATTACCATCAATAATACATTATTACGAGCAATACATTTTTGAAAAAATATTACCCCCAATACATTACTGAAAAAAAAATATTACCCCCAATACATTACTGAAAAAAAATATTACCCCCAATACATTACTGAAAAAAAAAATTACCACCAATACATTACTGAAAAAATAAATATTACCCCCAATACATTACTGAAAAAAAAAATTACCATCAATATATTTTTGAAAAAAAATAGTATTACCAGCAATATATATTTGAAAAAAAAATATTACCGGCAATACATTCTTGAAAAAAATATTACCAGCAATAAACATTTTGTTGGCATTAAATAACCCATTGAGGTTGATATGCCGTAAAAAAAAAAAAACCAATCTAAACCAATCTAATCCATAATGAATCTATCCAAAAATGTTGTCGACATTAAATAACATATTGATATATCCAAACCAATAAACCAAAGAATACATATCTATTCATAAAATCCTAAAAAATGTTGTCGACATTAAATAACCCATTGAGATTGATATGCCGTAAAACAAAATAAACCAATCTAAACTAAAGAATACATACTCTATTCATACGTATCTATCCTAAAAATGTTGTCGGCATTAAATAAACCATTGAGGTTGATATGCCGTAAAACAAAACAAACAAAAACATTACTTAATTTTTATTTTTCTAACATATGGTAATGTCTTTATTTTTAATTCGCTTGCTAAACATTTTAAATCTTTCATTTAGGTTTTAATTTACTCTTTTACTTTTGGGTCGTTTTAATTTATTTTAATTTGGCTTATTTCAAATTTGCTTGCAGTCCATTTTAAATTGATGGAGTAACGTTTTAATTCAATTTCCTGACTTTTTCATGTGTTATTTCAAAATGTGTTTGACTTAATATATAATTTGCTTTTGTTTCTAGTTATCTGAACATTTTAATTTATTTGGATTAAATTTAATTTAGTAATTTTACTTCTTACTTTTACTTGATTTTATTTTTTACTTTTCCTAATCTTTTAACATTTAAATTATACTTTACTTTAAATTTTAATTTACTTTCCAATTTGTTCGAAAATTCTTTTTAACTTATCATTATAATTTCATTTCTTGGTCGTGCTATTTATTTTGCTTTTGTTACTTTATAAATTTAATTTATTTTAAAATCCATGTCGTAATTTATATTTTGTTTGCGTTATGTTTTGATTTTGTCTTAATTTTATTTCTTCAGCTTACATTTTATTTTTTGCTATATTTTTAAATTGTTTACGTTAGTTTTTAATTTTTAATTTTTAATTTGTGTTATTAATATATTTGACTTCTTTTTAATTTGCTTCCTATTCAATGTACATTGTTCGCCTTAGTCTTTAATCAGCTCCCCATGTTTTTTTTAATATTTTGCCTTATTTCACAATTTGTCTGTCTTATATTTAAAATAGTTTGACTAAATTTTAATTATGCTTCACTTGTTTTACATACTATATTTTTTTACTTTTCAATTTGATTGCATTAGTATCTGTCTATATTTCTGAGATGAGGTATCATATACACTATTTACATTATTCGGACTATTGTCCTCATCTTTGTTGCTATATTTATTACAACGTTTCGGCCCTTCAGTATCTGTCTATATTTCTGAAATGAGGCATTTTGTACACTATTTACATTATTCGGACTAGTGTCCTCATCTTTGTTGCTATATTTATTACAACGTTTCGGCCCTTCAGTATCTGTCTATATTTCTGAAATGAGGTATTTTGTACACTATTTACATTATTCGGACTATTGTACTCATCTTTGTCGCCATGTTTATCAAAAGGTTTCGGCCGTTGTACGCTCCGGCCTTCTTCAGTTGGTTGGAATGTCGAACTGAACCTTTTATTTTGCTGACTGGGGTGGACTGTTCTTGTTCCATGTCTAATGAATGTCAGTTATCTTCTGTTAATTCCCCTCTCCACCTTCTCCACTGCCTTAACCAGGTATTGAACTCACACTATCTGGGTCCTGTCAATGGATCTAACTAACACCTTTATCTACTGTGCCATGTGTCCTTGAGGGAATTAACATGAGATAACTGATAACTGACATCCATTAGACATGGCACGTGGAACTAGAACAGTCTATCCCAGTGAGCGAAATAAATGGTTCAGTCCGATATTCCAACCACCTGAAGAAGGCCAGAGCGTACAACGGCCGAAACTTTGTTTTTAAAGTTTTGCGTTCGTCATTTTTCAGTTTGCTACGTGATTTTGGATTCCTTTAATAAATTTTACCGGCAGCAAAATGTCAGTTAACGTGCTGTTGAATTTGTTAAGTTTCTAAAAATATTTTCTCATGATGATACCTTCACATTTTCGGGTTAATGACCAAGAGGGGTATATCTTTGGCAAGATGAGAGTGTAGTCCCAGTTCATTTAGAATAGCCAATATAAGTTAGGGTATCTATCTTTATGAATCCATGTTTCCCCTTTTTTCCCCCACAGTCACTATCTTTCCAAAACATGCAGCTCCTAAAATAACTGCTCCATTATTTAAATCAATAGGATCAGACAATTATTATAAAATGTCATTTGGCTAGACAGTTATAACACAAATTATCCAGTGATTTAGAATTTAAGGAAAAATAACTTACAAGAGTAATAGATCTTAGACACCTTGAAATCCCCACCTGGGATCTCACACATTTTAATGTAATGAGAATAAGGTCAGAGAAGGAGACTAAAATTTCCATGCGTAAGATAATTGTATATGTATTTCCGGATTTCGTTAATTAATGTCGACTAAGTTAAGGGTATGTGGTTTCAGGTCTTTCTTCGATTGTTTGATCTCTTATTTTAGGTCTCAGCTTTTAACTTCCTCGATCGGGCTTTTATATAACTTCCAGGTTTTCTTGTGCGTGCATATGTTAAGTTCAGCCTGGTTCATTTGCTTGTTTATGTTGGTAAACCCACAGATCTTTCGCTGCCCAGTTCAGTACATTGCAACCTTGAGGACATCTCTATATCTTCCCTAATTTCCTATGTTATTTAAAACCTATTTTTACACGTTTTGACTCCAGTTTAGGGGTTAACAATTTGCCCATAGCTGGGACTCTAACAGGGGCTACCATCCGGGTCAGGTTGGACATATGAATACTAGCAATTTAGAGGTGGTTCCAGGCTACTCAAACCTTGCTGTTGGATGTAGTTTATCGTCTTACCCAGGATGATTAAGGAATGTGTATAGCATTCATATTTAAAATTATGCCAAATAAATTACAAAGTAAGAAAAGAAATAAAAATTAAGAAAAACAAAATTAAAAATAAACAAAATTAAAATAGGAAACTATGAAAGTTTATTAATACAGCAAAAATTAAATATTACCACAAGCAAATTCGAAAATAAGACAAATTAAAAAATGTATTAAAATATAAGAAAAGCAAAAAAAAAATGGAAAAATAAGGCAATACGACATATAAATTATTGAGTATGTTAAGTAAGTTTGAAAAAGCAATTAAATTTTAAAATATAACAAATTAAAAAGTAAGGTAAATAAATTAAAAATTAATGTAGGCCCATAATAAATTAATGTCATCAAAATTAAGTGTGAGGCAAGAATATGTAAGATACTCAATTTAAAAAGTAAGGCAAGCTAATTAAAAATT